AAAAAAAAAAAAAAAAAACAAGAAAAAAAAAACAGAATAAAAGAATGAATCTTCTGCAGAACATGTCTTTTGTGCATGTGCTGAGTAGAGGCCCGTAGGGCCACTGCACGTATTCCTAAGAAAAGCAAGAAAAACGAGAAAAAAGAAAACAAGAAAAAAGAAAAACAGAAACCAACACGGCCTACCTACGTAAGCAACCCATAACTGTTGAAACACAGACCTGAACTTAGATCCTGAGCATATATTCGGCCAGCTCGTGCTCTTCTTCATACTGGCTGCCTGCTTCGATTTGGGTGGGAGGGTCTGAGCCATATAGCTGCGAGGACCCCTCAGACAGCCTGCATGGGCTGTCTGAGCTATGTTAGGGAGTTTCCCCGACCCCCTTGAAAAAAAAGGAGTACTTTTTTTTTTGTTTTTTGTCTAGCCGCCGACGACCTCGCCCAAAGGCTCCCAATCACCGCCGACACTCCCGTAGCCTCACAGGCACCTCCCCACCCGCGACAGCCCCCCTGCGCAAACGCGTCAATCGCGTTCAGGCGCGTTCAGTGAACGCGCGTTCACTGCGTTCATAAATTGAACGTGGAACGCGCGTTCAATGAACGCGCGGTAACATAGAACCCCACCGCCCCCCCCAAACCCGAAATTTTATTGCAGCTTCAGGGTCGTCTCGTCGAGCGCGGAAAGACCCCGCCTTCAATAAAATTAAAAAAAAAATTCTCCGTTGTTTTTCGGCCCACCCAGTTTGCCCGGGCGACCTCCCCCGGACACGCTCAGCCGGGTGCCGTCCTCACCCAGAAAAAAACGAAATAAAATCGCCTAAGCGGGCAAAAATCTAAAATATGGTGCATTTCCTGAAAATAAAAAAATTAGCAACTACAGTCGGGGCGGCTACATCGATGTCCTATGGAAGAACTCAGACATCGGCCTGCGACGACTGGCTTCCGAACGCTGGCGGGCCACCGGGTCCCACATCTCAAATGATAAATCGGGCTAGGCCACGATAGCTCGCAAACAACCGATCACGCAGCCAAAAAAGGCTGATTCCGGCCTACCGGTACCTCGGCAGTTTCTAGGGGCGTGGGGAGTGTTGGTTTAACTAGGGGACTGCTTGAAGGTGGAAGGTGGGGGAATGGTTATGTGTAATCTATTCCGCCGCCCGCCTAGACTAACCGACTAGTGATGCTGGAACAAAGGCATATGGCAAGAGGGGTGAAAACTCTTGTGGGAGTCATCACGCCGCTTGGCTGAAACAACTCGATAAAAGGTTGCTTTATCGATCTCTTATAAATCAGATGAGTAATAGGAAGCTCATGTGTGAGTTTTCCTAGTATTTGTTTGGTATTCGTCTAACTAACTCAGAGAAAATAAGAAGTGCGGGAGATTGAGCAAAGGTAGGATACTCATGTACGAGTGACCCTGCTATTTGCCTAAGTATGTCTAATGATTTGATTACTTACTAACAAATTGTTCATCCAATATTAAACTAAAGGGGTGGGGGATTCAGGTATATTAACTTTCCTTCTCAACTAACGGCTCAGAAAGGTCCAGTCCTTGCTTTTATTCAAGATGTAGTAGGGGGCTCATGTGAGGGTCATCCTATTCACACGCTCGAATCTGAGACTTACTAACGACTTACAAGAAGTAAGAAATCACATTGCTGCTCTTTTGCTAACATTTTACTTACCCTCAGACAGTCCGATCACCAAACGGGTAGTAGGAAGGTTTCTGTAGGAGTCATCATATTACTTAATTGGAAAAAGGACTACTCATTACCCAAAGAAGTAGTAGAGGGGCCCTTGTTAGGGTCAGCTTATTACTTGCTTGATTATGTATTGACCTATAAAGCAGGGTATTCCTGTAGGAATATCCTAAACACTGGTTTTCTATCCCAGCTAACCAAGTCTCAGATCGGTCATCCTCGGGAGAGCAATAGGATGCCCTTGTAAGGATCGTCCTGTTGCACTCGTGAAAGTGAACCGTGCATTGGTCACGTGTTAGTAGGGGGCTCTTGTGTGGGTCGCCTATTATTCACTCAGACCATTACTAACGTTTGGGAGGGGGATTAAAATCCAGATTTTCTACATAATGACTAAAGTAGTGGGATGCTTCGGTAGGAGTCTCTCGACTATTTGTTTGAAGTCAGTCGAAGGATACTCCTGTGCAAGTTACCCGACTACTTGGAACAAATCTTGTGAGATGTTTCTTACTAATCATTTGCATTGGTATTGGTTGGAATTAGAAAGGTGGTCGAATATTCTTGTGCGTATTATTCGACTGTCTGCTTGATTAACAAATTGTCTGGAATTGATTAACTAGCAAAAGATTCATGTGTGAATCGATCTACTGCTTATGTATGTCAGGACAATAAAAGAGAAAGGAAAAGCACAATGCTCCTGTTGGAGCGAGACTTCACGTATCTAGAAGCGGAATGAAGAAAGCAGTTAGAACCACGGGAAAAGATACAAGTAGAATAAGAATCACCACGTGGTCCGTATCCATTCATGACTTTCAAAAGGAAAGCTACGATGGTAGAAAAGTTCAATCTCAACCACATAAGCACCAACGGGTGTGCTTATCCCCAAGAGAGAAAATGAAAGGACTAAAAGTACAAGAAATATGATTTTCCTTGAGACGGCTTAGGACACAGGTATAAAAACTCCTTGAGGGAAAGGAGAAAGTGACAAACGGATGTCTATCCCAATAAGAATAGGGTTAAAAGTTAGACATGGAATGTCTATCCCAGAGCTCACAACCCATATCTAAGGGTTTGACCCTTAGATATCAATGATTGGGAAACGAATGGGGGTATTCAATCTCTGTTGACATGTGTGTGTGTTGGTCGTTGTTTGATCTACTGCAATTGAAGGAGTGGTTCTACAAAAAGGACCCAATTTCCTGTCGGTTGTTACCGATTCAACTTTT